GAGTTTTTTACTGATCGTCGGTGAGGGTGTGTGCGTTTCGTATACGGGTGAAAGATGAGAAAGCTCATTTGAGAGGATGTCATTATGACCACTCGCAATGTTGAGGAGTGGAATGCCGCCATTTGGGACATTGCGGACGGCAATATTCCTTGAATTAGGAGACAACCGTGAATACCCATCAAGGCCCTCTGCAGATGACAATCCGTTTGCGATTGATTGATGGCTATTAGAGCCATTTGGGGGAGTCGGGTTAGGACTAGATCCATTAGCAATCAAAGGAGAAACCTCGCTTAGACCACTTCGTGTAAATTTAGGTGTACGTTGCCCAGAAAGGTCTTCCCCCAATGAGATATCACTCTCAGTAAGAGATGCTTGGGATATTGATCCAACAGATCCTCTTGCGTGGGAAATCTTATTTTCAAAGACTGGCCCCTCACTTGTCGGAACAGAATTAGGGCCTCCTACAGCAGAAGAACCGTTTACTACCAATGGTCCATTGGTATGCAGGGTACGAAGATTGGAACTGGACATCGCATGTTGAGCTGGAGCAGATTGAGCCAGCGAGAAGCGTCTATCGTTACCCAGTGGAGACGGCGATCGTGAAGGATTACGCTTAATCCTGTCACGAATCGACTGTGGCAACTGATCAGTCGATAATCGTCGTCTATTTCCAGAAATGTCTCCAAACGAAGGTATCGCTAAAGGCAAATCTCTGCGAGTATATGGTTGAGTCGGCTCATTGACGTAATACCCAACATACTCCTTTGGCGTACTAAGCTCTGGTGGAGTAGTGGCCGTTCGCCTCGACTCATATCCTTGCTCAGTGGACTCGTCTGGAATAAAATTTGGGATGGGAACACCGTTGCCCTGTGGTCGCAAAGGTTGGTATACCCCAATTCCATTGGTACCATGAGCAGGGTGCCCATTTCCTTGCAATAAAAGAGGGGAAGGAGCAGTACGAGTCCCGGGTTGTGAATGCGACCTAATAGACCCATTCGATTGAACCATGTTGGAACTCGAGCCATTTGTAACAGTGGACCGATGAATACCTCTCCTCATCTCTGGGACAACAGCACTCAATTGCGGCGATGAGGGATTCGTATTCGAAGTTGGGTATGCATACATTGGTTGCCCATTGTATTGAAGAGGATAGAAATACATACCGTCTGGTCGTATAGGTGCTGTTAATGGCCCTTGATCAAACGAAGAGGTTCGATTTCGATCAGTGGCTTGTTGCTTGATTGGCATGCCGCCGCCTTGTATGCGACCATGAGACTGTGCATATGCTTGAGCCTGAGCATGAGCCTGAGCATGAGCGTGAGCCTGTTCCATGTACGTTTGCTGGACCAATTGCATCCTTAAAGTATTTTCTTGTGCCTGTAAGACCGAATACGTGGCGTAGAGGTGGTTGTGCAACTGTGATTGCGCTTGTTGCTGGGCAGCCCATTGATCTTGTGTAGAAATATTCGACGGTATCCCATGCTGTGGGTACATGTGGTTATCGTAATTGCTATTTGAGGATTTGCGGCTGCCATTTGACGAATTGCGATTAGAATGGTTGTTACGACCGCCACGGTGACCTCCTCTGCCATTTCTATGCGGGGGATGACTAGCAGTCAATGTTGGCTTCTTAGACGGGGGTGGCTTTTCCCAAACTCGCTCCTGCTCTTTTGGAAATATATATTCTTCACAACACTCATCCAGTTTGCCGCCAGATATCAGCTCGAATGCCCTCCTCATTTCCAAGTGAAGTCCACGAAAGGAGAAATCATCTGCGGTATTTCCAAGATTCCGTTCGGTATTAAAAGGTTCCTCCACGCACAACATGTTGTTTGTTGCTATTGACCATTTCTTCTCCTGCTTCGAGATTTGCTTTCCCATTCGGACCGAAACTACCTGCTTATCATAATCGAATTCGTGCCCGTAAAATCGAAAGAATTGGAACAAAAGTTCTCCCAAGGTTGATTTATTCTTCTGACCAAACCCCCTCAAAGCGTCAATATCGTCTGCGAAGCTGCTTTCACCCCCTTCCTTCGTTGGTAACCTAAGGTGAGGCCGTTGATGTAGTGATGGTAACACAGGAGGCTCCCGACTCTGTAGAAAATTGATGATCATGCATATCCATGTATATGAGCTCAATGTGCCACCAACTAAAAAATGTGAGTGAAAATAGTCATGCCAAGGAGTTTCCTATTCTTACCAGCATCATTGATCGCCCTTGACTTTGTCCAATGCTTGATTATCATAGCCAAGGGCCTCACACGAGGATCAATCTCGATGTACGTTTTTATCATTCGAGTATTCTCTAGAGCCTGGGTATTGTTGACATTCATGTCGCAAGGCAACTCAAGCTCCGGATCAAATATCTTGACGATTGGAACCTTAGCAGTCGATACACAAATCACCTTTTGCATACCATCTAGAGAATGTCAGTTATGTTGTCGCTGGCTGGGGTCAGGATACTCACTCTTTGCGAGTAATTCTGCAATCATGCATACACCCTCCATCACCTTCCAGTCGGTCGTTATGCAAATATCGACTAAAATTATCAGTAGAGCTTTCAGACTTTAGCACCTTTTCAACTTACCATCTGACGCATCAGTACAAAGCAAATTGCCCGATGAACCGAAAACATAAACCCGTATATCGTGCCCAGGCCATTCTTTGTTAAACATGTCTTCCAGCTTCGACACCAGCTTCCTCCTTCTCTCGTCGGTCTCTGCCGTTGGCAATAAACGATCATATAACTCGCGCATATCTGTGGACAATTTTCTCTCTTCTTCATCTGACAATTTGCTTTTCAGATCAGAATCCTTCAATTGCTCCAATCGATCAGCCCCAAGACTATAAGGCATGCGCCGCCTTATGGAGGCCATGGCCGTTTCGTATTGACATCCTCTTCGTTGGGCAGGAGGTGGTCTCGAAGGTAGAGTTATATTTGATTCGGAGTATGCCGATCTAGGGGAATGGCTGCCAGGGGCATTCGGTGAAGGTTCTCTCGACTCGTCGAAAGAGAACTTCCTCGGATGTTGATGTGGTGTAGAAGGTACAGAATTCGATTCTCGAGACAATGTGGAATTTTGATGTTGTGCAACTGGTCGTGGGGGGAGTTGAGCTGTTAACTCAAATTTCTTGCCCGGCATCGCTGTTGATGTCTCCTTCTCTGTTATGAGCGCGCGCTCGCTTTTATTAAATTTTCGTACGTCCCTATTCCCATGACCGCCCCTCGCAGCAGGTTTTGGTTTTCGTTCTGTGGTAACGCCACTTGAGCTGGATCTTTGTCCGGGCACAGCCTGAATATGTTGTGCTGAAAGTAGTGGGGGAAGTGGTGCAGTTTGCAGTCTAGTGTTTCCGCCTGAAGAAATGAGCTTGTTGTACTGTTCAAGTTGTTGTTGGTGAAATGAGGGCTGTTGGGGAAGTAAAATGGGAATGAATTGGGTTGGAAGCTGAGGGAAACCAGGAACCCTCGGCGAGGAGCTGGAATTTGAATCGGCGTGGGTGTTACGCCGCACGAGTCGCGACCACTGTGCAGATTGATATTGATATTTAGAATTACCTGTAGAAGGCTGGCCCTCCATCAAACTTATAAATTCCTTCTGTTGTGGGCGAGGGATTGTCGTTCTTCTTGACGATGTGTCGAGAATGTCTCGACTCTAAACGACAGACGGGGAAATCGAAGCAAAGACAAACGGATCTTGGTAAGAGTAAAGACGATGGAGGTAGCCACGCAGCTATGAAAAAAAAGAAAGGGAATAAAAGAGTCTCCCCAATATAGGAAGGATATGTAATTGTGCTCCGTAAACAAACGTCGTGGTTGTGGTCGTAATTCGTGGATTCAAAGAAGGAGAGGTTGTCGGAGGTTGATTTTCCTTCTTTCGAGATTGCCCCCTTCTGATATTGAGTTGTGAGTGTGGTTCTATGTATTGGTCCCTCGCTATTTTTTTAATTCCGGACCATAGAAATTCGTATCGAAATTGAAGAGTGGAGAAAAAAAGGGAACTCGTTGCTTTGGAAAAATCGAGGGTATCTTTTACGGGTTTCCGCTGTGCTGTGGGAAGATAAACATAAGAGAAGAATTATTCCTCCGCGGTCTTTTAATTATGACAAGAGAATGAAATTGATCAATTGTTTTCTTGGACGAGTGAGAAATTGGAATCTGGTTGGCAGAAAGAGAATTGGGGGGGGGGGGGAAAGATTTATTTTGGGAGGGCTTTGTTCTTCCACAGTTGTATCACACTTCCACGCACTTTCATACAATAGAGTGAGTGTACCTGATACTGTCCGTACTTTATTACTTTAGTATAGTGAGTGGTAGTAATTAAATGTACGGAGTAAAGCAGCACTTTCTCGGGGCGTGTGTGGTAGGAACGTGAGTATTGGACTTTCCTCGATTTAAAAAGGAACGCTAAGCATGGTTATAGTCCCAGCAAAGCAACAACAGGGTGAGGTGAGAGGTAGGAGATCAAAGGTAAGAAGTAGGAAGTAGGAAGGAGGAAGGGGGAAGTAGGAAGTAGTCAAGAAGGAGAAGTTAATAAGAAGCGCTAGCAGGAGGTAAATTGCTGCTTAAAACAATTGCTGCTTAAAAGATGAAAAGTGCCCTTTCCCTTCTTTTCATTCAATATTCTCCTATCTCAATGGTTCCATATGATTCGTAACTCCCTAGGTAGGTATAGGTAGGTAGGTAGGTAGGCAGGTAGGTATCTGTAGCTACTAGTTCGAACTGTATGGTATGGATCTGGACTTCATAAATAGAAACTATAATTGGAGAACTGGAGAGTGGAAGAATTGAATATCATAGCATTGGGGGAACGGAAGAAAAAGAGATTGTGCCTACTTTTATTCACGTATTCATATATTCACATGTACAATCCTCCATCCATTTCACTCTTCACTCTTCACTCACCCCTCTCCCATCATACGGGCCACTCCTAGATTGTGCAACTATTGAGCATTTACTCATAAAACTACTGGACTCCTGGTAGATTTGTTCATAACCCAACATGCGTAGATCTACCTCCTCCAATTCCATGTACTGGCTGGCCGTACCCATGAGAGAACCTGGAGAGTTCCATATGTATGTATATATGATACGAGTAATAACAACGGCCAAAGCGACAGTCTCCAATAGCCAAGTCCTCTCTACTCTCCTCTGGTCCCAACTACTCAAACTTTACTTTTTTGCTACATCCCTCGTGCCAGTCAGAACTTCGGAAAATATAAGTGCATTTCCTTTGTGAGCCTATTCCTTTTGCCTAACCATTCAGCCATTCACATTTCATGTAACACCGAGTGTGACTGTGTGACTGTGTGACCTCAATATCAATATGGATAGTGTGTGCCCACCCAAATTGCATCACAAATCCCCAGTCTAGCATGAAATATCTCCGCACATCTAGACTTGGGTACAGAGAAGTTTCCAGCTCTTCCACCGTTTCTTCTTCGCTGGTACCATATATTTTCACAGAGTACACACCAAGGAAGCCAAGCAATTGGAAGAAAATGATCATGAATAACGAGTTGGTTGGTCACTCAAATGTATAAGTTTCAGCCCTGGAGAGAGTCTCATTCCTCTGGGGGGCGAGTGTGTATTCAGCTCCTGTATCTAAAAGCTCCATCACAATTCCCCATCTTGTAGAATCTCGACGTGACCGCGGTACCTCGTACTAGTTATCCATGTGCATGCGGTGTGTGTGTGTGTGGATTGCATAACGGGACAGTTTTAGGTCCTAGTCCGGTGCAGTGCAGTGAGCCTGTGCCTGTTTGGGCACTTGCAAGCAAGATGGCAATCTTCGGGATACTCATATCATACTTTACTCCTCTCTCCAAGCAATCGCCAATCTGACAGGAGGGGAAACTTGCAGACTTACAGTACAGCTTACCAGAAGATAAGCCCAAAGTGAAGCCACGAAGCATAGTCAGTGGAAGGGAAACGTAGAGGGAATCCGACAGTACGAACACGGACGGAACAAATCTATGTAAAGTAAAGCAACGGAGTATGCAAGCTTTTATGAACTAAGCTAGCTAGTCCTAAGTCCAAGACGGTTTGTTTCCTTCTCGAATCGTTCATTCTTAGAAGAACCCCGCCTGCAGGGCTCAACCACAATCCTTAATACATCAAAGTCAAATTCCTATTTCTGAGACGAAGGGGTTCAAGCTTCGACCTTTCTACAGTCTAGTCTCTGAACCTTTCTTCGACATTCCGATTCCTCGATTCAATTTATTGGTTTATGTTTCTCCCAAGGAAGCATTTCATTGATGGATATATATCTATCCATCTATCCATAATTTATAACTACCAAGGGACTTGAAGTTATTCATTACATTTCCAGGATCATTAATGACATGGAATCATTCTAGGAAGCCGGTGGGAATAGCCAAACCTCGATATCAATATCAATATCAATATCAATATCAATATCAATATCAATATCAATATCAATCAATGTCAAGAATGGTTTACTTCCTTACCCCTTAAATCCGAGATCAAACCTTATTAACCTTGGCGGATTCTGGAATAATCCAAAAGACAATGAGAAACATGAGAAACATGAGAACCAGGTTGATTAGCAGGTAGACAGTGTGTGTGCCTGCCTTGAAAAGTATCCTCACTCAAATGCCTACCTACCCCAGTAACATTCTCCAAATGTGGAAACAAAAAAGGAACAAGAAGAATTTCCTTCCAAGTCTCAGAAGATCCTACCAAGATGTATTCTGGTTAATTGAGGGAGGGGTTCATCAGGGTCCTCCTGTTGCTCTCCGTTTAAATTTAATCTCCTTGAATCTCCTTGAATCTCCAGAATTCCGATATACGATTTATCAAATCCCCGACGTCTTCCCAGAGAAAACACTCATTATTCCTTTCTTTGAATAATCAATTATAAATCAATAATGAATCCTTTCATCCAATTCAACCGATCCACCAAGTCCAATCCACCGAGTCCAATCCACCAAGTCCAGGAAAGAGAAATCTGGGGAAAGGCGGCACACAATGACCTTTTTTCCACATGTTCTCCAATATACCAATCATATTGATACATTCTTCATCTATTCTTTTCATTTGGATATTAGTGACATATATTCTCCCTGCATTCGGTAATTTGTTAGCCCTGCTTAACCGCTGAGGCGTCGAAAAGAATTCACGTTACGCCACAGCCGTGAAGGGATTAACAAGACCTTGAGGTTCTGTCGTGTTTTGAGTTTTGGGGGTTGAAGAATCTTAGGGATCTCCCGCGGCAATGAACAGATTTCTCCCGACCGATCCCTTTTTTTGTTTCTCTACAATTGCAAATGCATCCACTCCATATCCAACCTTGAAGTGCCGACATATGCTCATGTAGGGAAGCAGGATTCAACATATTTACCGGAGACTTCTTGTCATGTGAACTCCAAATGGCCATTCAAATTTGTATTAATACTAACCTACAGCCTTTCCGAGACCAGTCTTGAATAACTTCTTATTGGGATTACGCTATGTCGACTTGATCAACACGATTGCTTCTTTATCATCTTCTTTATCATCTTTATCATCTTCTTTCGAATATTCCATACCTCACTCTCACTCTCACTCTCTCCTCTCCTCGTCTTTTTCCTTGTCAAGAAAACAAAGACTTGATTCATCCACTCTATCCCATTCCGCCTTATAAGTCATACAGTATCGTACCACTTATTGAAGAATACCAGGGTACATTCAAAACAGTCTGCCAAACCCTCCGAATCATGAAGTCATTTTCTTGGCAATTTTGGGGGACATTCTTTGCTTTTTCTTTCCTCACTGCTCTTGCTCAAGCTCACGCACGCTCACTAATCAACGTTTCTTGTATCTCGATCACGATTTCTTGTCCACCAACCAATTTTTACTCCATATTCTCATCCCAAAAGAAATACTTACATCTCGATTCATACGCCCGATGGTCCTTGGCATCCAAACAATGAGGTAACATCTTCTCATAGGCATCGCGCCTTGAATTGTCTAGAAGCCGCTTAAACCCATCAGCTCAATACTTCGTACACATATGGGGCAGCCTGCTCTTCCGCCTTAATTGCGGAGCCCAACTACCTCATCTACTCTGTCTGTACGAAGGACTCGTACAACAAAGCACCAACTTTGATCTGGACCTCGTTTCGCCAGGGACCATTGAAGAAAGGAAAGAAAAGTATCAGGCTGTCAGCTTGGTGCTTTGTTCCAATACAACCGTTTCTTTCATCTTCATCCGATCTTGTAGATTCCTTACACAATCAACCCTATTGGATGGATGTTCCCTTTTTCACACTCCGAAAGACTCAGACGACCCGATATAAGGTTATTCCCAAAAAGCACCAGCCCACTTAACCTTACCTCGACTTAATGATCTGACCATCTTTTACCAAATTTCTAAACTCCGAACTAAAACCTATACCCGGCCCTTCCGCATTTTCATCCTTCTCTTCCATCTATCTCGTTCCTAAAAGGCCCTTTGTACCAAACCGAAATTCTCAAGCAAGAAATTCTTGACACTCTAACCCTTCAAATACCTAGGACCTGTCTAGAACAGCCTCCTAACATCCAATCGGCACACACTCCCGGATGTTTACTTAAGATCTCGATAGAATGTATGCATCTCCTCCCGTCTTTGCCTCTAGGACTGAATGAAGAACGTCATTGGAAACTCGAATTAAGGTTTTAGAACTTAATGCATAATTAGAAATCAACATTCATCGTGTCGTATCGTACGTGCACACGAAGGTTGATCCATCAATACTTACACACAATAATAATATATATATATATGTATATTTCCGTGTCCTCCTCATCTATCTCATCATACTCTCTCACCTCTCATCATCTATCTCATCATCTCAAAATCATCTTTCCCAAACTCTCTACCAAGCCAAACCCGCAAACCCGCCAAAATCCCAGCTCCAACCTACTAGGTCCCCGGCTACCAACCCCTCCCTCCCACAGCTCTCACTCTCGCTCTCGGAATCCACGGAATTGTCACTTTTGTCCATTTCTCCATTTCCAACCCATTCATTTATTTCAAAGCATACAGTCAATCAAGCACACCTCATCTCTTAAAAGCAAAGAAAAACAGAGAAAGACAGAGAAAGAAAGTTATTTCCTTCCTTGTCTACTTACTACGAATCTACTATTTTACCAATTTCTTCATCTCGCATCATCACATTGAATATCAAATTAAATACATACATACAAGAAATATATACATAAATTAAATTATCCTAAGGATTTCTCTGAGCAATCGCAATATTCTTATATCCGCTTTATCTCCCTCCTCACTACATACCTACCTAGCATATCACATCCAAGTACCGAATCAAATCGAGTTCGAGTTCGAGGAAAAAAGAAAAGCGCCAGCTTGTGTGAAAACGGATTCTATTTTTTCTTTTTCATTCTTCTGCCCGGAGAAAAAGGTGTGAGGATTGCTTTGCTTGCCTAGCTGTTCTTTGTTGTGTATTTCGGGAGATACATAGGTACATACATATACTGAGCTACATACGTGTATTTTCTACAACGACGACTACTACTACCTACTGCCAAAATAAACTTCTTTCGCTATCAAATTGGGATTAGGATTCCCCTTATTCATTCACATTCTTCTATTCAAGATCTTTTCTAGAGTGTAGTAGGATCGATATCGACATCGAATTTCGAATTGGGATTGAAATTGAAATCGGACTTGAATCCGCATTGGGAATTGAGGATTGGGGATACTCTTATATCTTATTTCATTTCATTTCATTAATTTTGGTGATTGATTTATATACCTACACCAGCAATGACACGATTACTATCAAGGTATGGATGATCTTTTCCTTTATCTTCCTTACTTCCCTATTTCATCTACTCTAATCCATCCACACCCCCCTCCCCCATCTCAATCTTCCCCCACACCTAGCTAACACCACCCAGAAGCTCACTCACCTCATCCCGCTCCACGACCCTCCTAATCGCCTTCCTTTCTCTAACATCCAACACCCTCTCTTCCATCTTTTTCAGCCAACTGCCCGACGAGCCGTTCCACCTCGCGGTTAACTACGGATTGTATTCACATTTTGCAAATGTGATGAGTGTTTTTGGGGTCATTGGGGCTTTGAGGGTATGTATATTTCTTTCTTCCTTTTCCCAGGCCTGAATTCCTCTCCATTTTTTTTAAAAAAAAATCGAGAATCGATATCGATATCACTGGATATATATAACAATTATAAAAAGATGAAAAAAACTAACAACCCCCTCAGAAACACTCCCTCTCCATCCTCTGTTTCTCAAACTATCTCCTCCTCGACACACTCCTCAGCGCAATCCCCCGTCTCCTCCTCCTAACCCTCCTCTCCAACTCCTCTTCTATCCTCTGCACCCCCTCCTCAACCACCTCTCTCGATTTCTCCACCGTCACCCAACCTCCCGCGCTATCGCAAAGTGCGCAGGAAATAAGTCTCGCTTCCTACACCATCTCGACCAGTATCCCCGCATCATCGCACATCGCTTCTTTTGCGGATTTTGTGGGTAAGACGGGAGGAGACGATGGATGGACCGAGAGTGGGTGTAGGAGGATTATTACGTTGGGCTATATAACGTTGATTGCGGGGATTATGGCAGCTATGGGACTGCAGGTTTTGGGCGCGCTTTGTGTGAGGGATTATGCGAGGGGGTTGTTTGTGAATGAGGAGATGGGAAATGATGGGGAATGGGAAAGGGAGATGGGGGATAGAGAAAGAGAGAGAGGGGACGTAGAGAGAGGGGAGAAGGTGAAGGTGGTGGAGAGGGAGGGTTTTAGGCCGCTTTTGGTGTTGGAAAGGGAGAGGGGTGAAGAGTTTAGGAGGATGACGCCGATTGTGGAGGACAGGGAATACTTTTAAATGATGGCAGTGATTGAAGTGATTGAGGGAGTGGCAACAGGAGGAGACTACATGAGGTGGGAATCTCCATTCACATACCCAAGGAGTACATCTCCCACGAATATGAAGCAAGCAGTCCAACGAGACAAAGCGACATGAACAAGAAATAACGAAATTGTATTATACGAAAGGTGGTGGATTGGAACAAGTCTGTAGATGGATGATGAACGAGATACGAAGCGAACTTTGGATTGCCATAATTGGGCCTGTATATATCAATTTCATTGGAGGAAGCATAAAGCACGCATGAAGTATGAAGTATGAAGTATGAAGCATGAAGCATAAATATGAATATGAATATGGGGATAGGGGGCTCATTAGATACCATTACTACCGATACCATTGGGGAAGAAGAGGAAGAAAGAGAAAGAGAAGAGGAAGCGTAATACTGCACGAAGAATTGTATATACTGGAATTATACTATGTGGAACAATTGAAATCATTGGATATACCAAGATTTGTATTCGAGGAGGTACTCGAGTAATGAAATGAATGAATGAATGAATGAATGAATGAATGAATGAATGAATGTACCATCTGCATCGGGTCTCTGACATCCAAAAAAATACATACACACATAGTATATTCACGACAGAAGATAGGTACGTGCGTACCCCCTCGACACTACCGGGCGTTTAGCACAGAAGGACTGATTAATGGTATGGTGCGGTACGGACCCGCACGGTAACGGTAATTCCTCATCGGGTTTTGATTCATCCATGATTTGTATTTCACAGATTTTTTCTTCTTCTTTGATATGGTATGGTAGGACTAGTACTAGTACTAGTGCTGATTTTAAGTTTTTTGAGAAAATAAAGTGAACTGGGATGAATTGGAATGAATTGGAATGAATTGAGATGAGATGAGATGGATGATTTGTGTACACACCTATCTATCTAGGCTGTTATTCTCTCGCTTTCTGCATATACAGATAGATAAGAAGTAGGGAAGTTTGTGAATGTGGGTGGGTGGTTGGGTGGGTTTGAATGGGAGAGGGGGGGAGAGGAGAGAGGATTAGATGAGTTCTGATTGTAGTGAAAAGAAGGGAGAAGGAGAAGTGTTAAGAAAAAAGAGAGAACCAAGTAGACAATGAGTATGGTGATGAATGGATTGTGAGATGAGAATCATAAGATGAGATGAGATGAGAGGAGAGGATCATGGGATCTAGAAGGGAAGGGAAGAGAAGGAAAGAGAGACTGGAGAATAGAAAAGATAAGATACATCTTCGGACTTAACTTCTGTGCATATTTCGATTGTCTAACTTTGAGCCGTGTCGAATGGCATAGACCACTTGAAGCCCGAAAGTATCTAGAGTGTGTGTAGTTTTTAGAAGTTGTGGACTTGGTTTTGGGGTTCTTTGATATGGTCGCCGTGTACTGACATATCATTGATGTGGTTTGTGTTCATGGCGAGAACTCCATGGAAACTAGAAAGTTGGAGAAGAGTGGGAAGAGAGAAAAGAGAGAGATTCGTGAACATATGGGAGCTGGTTTCTTAGTTGGGAAGAAAGCATATGATCCGAAATAAGATATACCCAAGTAGCGTCCAAGAAACTCAGGAAGCTCACATCGACTTCAAAGCAAGATGTTCACACATCGTGATGAAGAATTCACCGCTCGTAAACCCCACTGGATGGTTAAATTCATGGTGGGGTAATAGTCCGATAAGTAAAGATTTGTGTTCCCTCGTGATGATAAGGAGTCATGAACTGGTGGGAGACGAATGTGGATAACATCCATCGTGTCAAGAATTCAAGTATATACCTCACTGGTAGGCAATCCGGAATCAATCCCGAAACTTCAATACTGAATTCATATATGGATGGTGAAAACTAATCATTTGAGAGGCACGTTGCCATCTTGATTCCTCTTGCTTTTGCGTATGAAGCTCTCGCATCTGATCATAAGCTAGAATTGTTTTTTCTTTCCTTTGACGATATCCTGGTTGTGAAAAAGCTGCATGGTACGCAACTTCACTCATCACCGATCGAACATGGAATCGGGAATTCGAAAGCTTCAGTATTTGTAACCTACTTCATTCCGAACTGACGGTTAGATGTAGCCTTTTTATATGAAGAGCAAAAGTGTGACTACATTTTGCTGTGGGAAGAGCCGTGTGAATGAGGGGGAAGTTGCATCAAAGTTTCCATACATAGTACAACAAACCAAACCAACCCATTTTGACCAATGGTGGGGTGAACTTGGCGAAGGTATTACAATCTGCAGATGCGTGGCGTGCACTGCATCAAGAGACCGGTATGGAGTTGGGTGTGATTGATGGCCCAGCTGTGGGATGCATATATTCTGCAGTTCCGTTGGGCCACCTTACAGATTTTGTTGTTTGTTCCCCCTTCTGTGGTTCGGTTTCCGGCGGGAATTTCCAGTGCGTGTGGGTAGGTATGATTGCCAGGTGATGCTTTTATTAGAAGCAATATTTAACCGGCTTACCGGCATGGGAAATGTTTTACTGTAGAATGATTGAAATCCAGCACTGTACTCATAGATTGGCCATATTCAATAGAAGAGCTGTTTTTCATGAACATGTTTTGCAATAACGGGAGTGTAAAGTTTCTGCATCTTTCCTTGTCTGTGCTTTGCTATTCCTCTAGATTTCGGCTCGGCTGTTGAATTTTGATGATGCATGCAAGAAAGGTGTTCGGAGTTGTGCGAATGATAAAGCAGCAAGACAGATAGGGCGAGGATCCTTGTAAAAGGAGTGTAGTGCGTGTAGTGCGTGAGTGCGATAAGGAACAAGATATTTTCATTTTTATTGGAATATTATATTGAAGGATGAATGGCTCCCTGTAAACGTTCGATATATCAAGCAAGACCTTCTCACTAAAGGATTTTCAACTCATCCGTCAATACCGGTACGCGAAGGCTTTGTTTCGCCATGGAATCATATTCATCCCATTTCGAATAGGGGTAAAATTGATGAATGAGATCTTCAACTTTCTCTCTCTCTTGTGAACCCCACGAGAAACCTCGGAACCAGACAACTTCATCCAGATAACCCGAGACTTATTCAAAGGTTGTCGTCTGTGGCTTGATCATTGACCTCCAGAAAACAAATTGTACAAGGATTATCCGCATATCGCGCTCAGCGAAATTGTAGTCCCCTGTTGGTTGCACGTCCATTGGAATTGGTGGTGGAGCGATGGAGTGATTCGATGGATACATTCGCTAGGTGCTTGATGAAGAACAGAAGGTAAGAGAAGAACATTTCCTTCTATGAATATTGTTTGTCAGTCAAAATCCAGAGGGTTCAAAGTTACACTTTCGGACTGTGTGAAATCAAAGACATAACGTGCACACTTTGGCGGGTTATCGTACGGTCTAGGGCTCTAGGTGTGTTCCATTGAGGAAAGTTGTTCGATAGAAGAGCGGAAACTCTCAGAGATCCAGAGAATAGTGGAGAGACCAAAAGATGAATGTGGGGTGTAGCGAAAGAAGCTATCGCTAAATAACGAATTTGATGCACTTTGAAGGTTTGGATAGTCTGTTCTGTCCGTGTAGTTTTGTGGAGGTCATTTTAGAAAAGATTAGGGCCGAGTAGTAAAGATTGAAGAGGGAGGTGTGCTAGCATCAATCAATCAATATTGAAGCTCCGAGGACGGATTCATCAATTTGAGGGATAAATGGGATGAATGTCTGAGAACTTGGGAAGAGATGGAACAACATCTAGAACTTCCGACCAAGACTTAACCATGAGGCTGAATAGAAATGATATCTCATGATGAGCCAAGTGAGTGATACACTGTCACCACCATTAATCCTGAATAAATGAGAAATCAGCCTTACACATGGAAATAGATGGTCAAGGTAGGTCATCATGATCCTTATCAACGGCTTTTCCTGCACAAACCCATCTTCATGTAAAGAGGGACGAGGGGACAAAGTGTGGTATAACCACCCCCTCTTGCCTTGATCCGATTCGTTTGATGGACACAGTGACCAAAATCAAATCAAAGTTTCTGTTATCCCGAGTGATGATGCAACTCTCCTATCTCCGTACCAAGCTCCATAACCGCGTACCGATATCAATATCAATGTTTGATAGGTGTCGAGAACACGATCAGGGAAATGAGTTGGAAATGAAGGATGGAAGAGGAAAGTAGATATGATACTTTTTGCTGGGCTAATATAGTTCTTATGTTACGGAGAATACCTAAGTACCGGGTAGTGGTTTGGTACCTTTTGATATATAAATAAAACTAGTACTACAAATAGTTAGGAAGGAAGCACTGACACAACGATAATACTTAGGAAGAAAATGAATGGGGGGAATGGGTCTACAGGAAGAGGGACAGCTAGAGAACCGTGACTGTACGATTTAAGTGTCTGACGAATGTGTAGAACGCGACATCAGTAGGTAAGTGGTAGCGGTAGGAGGAGACAGCTAGATTGTACACATCCTTAACAAGACAGTTATACAACGAATAGAGAGCAGCTTTATATAGACAAAAGACGTTGAAACATAGAAACAGAACACAGTGCTACAATGACTGGCCATTCATCTTCACAGAGCCATGGAGAAAAGACGATGATGTAGGTATGAATCTCTGCATCGAATATAACTTTATCGAATTTCTGTTGGCTGTTGGTAAGAGCAATCATTCGGATTCATTCCTCATCCATCACTCATCACTCATCTCTCACCTCTCATCTCCCTCCTTCGTTCCTCTCTTTCCCCTCTGCTCTTCCCTTGTCAGCAGAATACGCATCCACTCCTCATCAAATACACACTACTGCACCACCACCCGAAGTAATAAAATTATCGCAAGATTTCCACCACTCCCAACTCACGGATCTACCAAAAAGAGATTTCGCTAGTAGTCAGAATTGGATCATCCTCGATTCCCTCATACCGGCTCTCCCCACCGAAAAGGGTAACCATTCGCCATTTTTGATTGAACCACCCGCTCATCAAGTGACCAAAGGAATTCTTATTAGATGATTAGA